CTAGTTCAGTTCTAGTTCAGTTCTAGTTCAGTTCTAGTTCAGTTCTAGTTCAGTTCTAGTTCAGTTCTAGTTCAGTTCTAGTTCAATTCTAGTTCAGTTCTAGTTCAGTTCTAGTTCAGATTCTAGTTCAGTTCTAGTTCAGTTCTAGTTCAGTTCTAGTTCAGTTCTAGTTCAGTTCTAGTTCAGTTCTAGTTCAGTTCTAGTTCAGTTCTAGTTCAGTTCTAGTTCAGTTCTAGTTCAGTTCTAGTTCAGTTCTAGTTCAGTTCTAGTTCAGTTCTAGTTCAGTTCTAGTTCTAGTTCAGTTCTAGTTCAGTTCTAGTTCAGTTCTAGTTCAGTTCTAGTTCAGTTCTAGTTCAGTTCTAGTTCAGTTCTAGTTTCAGTTCTAGTTCAGTTCTAGTTCAGTTCTAGTTCAGTTTCTAGTTCAAATTCTAGTTCAGTTCTAGTTCCGTTCTAGTTCAGATCTAGTTCAGTTCTAGTTCAGTTTCTAGTTCAGTTCTAGTTCAGTTCTAGTTCAATTCTAGCTTCAGTTCTAGGTTCAGCTTCTCGTTCAGATTCTAGTTTCAGTTCCTAGTTCAGTTCTAGTTCAGTTCTAGTTGCAGTTTTCTAGGTTCAGTTTCTAGTTCAGTTCTAGTTTCAGTTCTAGTTCAGTTTCTAGTTCAGTTCTAGTTCCGTTCTAAGTTCAGTTCTAGTTCAGTTCTAGTTCAGTTCTAGTTCAGTTCTAGTTTCAGTTCTAGTTCAGTTCTTAGTTCCAGTTCTCGTTCAGTTCTAGTTCAGTTCTAGTTCAGTTCTAGTTTCATTTCTAGTTCAGTTCTAGTTTCAAGTTCTAGTTCAGTTCTAGTTCAGTTCTAGTTCAGTTCTAGTTCAGTTCTAGTTCAGTTCTAGTTCAGTTCTAGTTCAGTTCTAGTTCAGTTCTCAGTTCATGTTCAGTTCTAGTTCAGTTCTAGTTTCAGTTCTAGCTTCAGTTTTCTAGTTCCAGTTCTAGTTCAGTTCTAGTTCAGTTCTCGTTCAGTTCTAGTTCAGTTCTAGTTCCAGTTCTAGTTCAGTTCTAGTTCATAGTTCAGTTCTAGTTCAGTTCTAGTTCAGTTCTAGTTTCAAGTTCTAAGTTCAGTTCTAGTTCAGTTCTAGTTTCATTTCTAGTTCAGTTCTAGTTCAGTTCTAGTTCAGTTTCTAGTTTCAGTTCTAGTTCAGTTCAGTCAGTTCTAGTTCTAGATTCAGTTTCTAGTTCAGTTCTAGTTTCAGTTCATAGTTCAGTTCTAGTTCAGTTCTAGTTCAGTTCTAGTTCAGTTTAGTTAGTTTTTCAGTTTCTAGTTCAGTTCTAGTTCAGTTCTAGTTCAGTTCTAGTTTTCAGTTCTAGTTCAGTTCTTAGTTCAGTTCTAGTTCAGTTCTAGTTCAGTTCTAGTTCAGTTCTAGTTCAGTTCTAGTTCAGTTCTAGTTCAGTTCTAGTTCAGTTCTAGTTCAGTTCTAGTTCAGTTCTAGTTCAGTTCTAGTTCAGTTCTAGTTCAGTTCTAGTTCAGTTCTAGTTCAGTTCTAGTTCAGTTCTAGTTCAGTTCTAGTTCAGTTCTAGTTCAGTTCTAGTCAGTTCTAGTTCAGTTCTAGTTCAGTTCTAGTTCAGTTCAGTTAGTTCTAGTTCAGTTCTAGTTCAGTTCTAGTTCAGTTCTAGTTCAGTTCTAGTTCAGTTCTAGTTCAGTTCTAGTTCAGTTCTAGTTCAGTTCTAGTTCAGTTCTAGTTCAGTTATCTAGTTCAGTTCTAGTTCAGTTCTAGTTCAGTTCTAGTTCAGTTCTAGTTCAGTTCTAGTTCAGTTCAAGTTCAGTTCTAGTTCAGTTCTAGTTCAGTTGTAGTTCAGTTCCAGTTCAGTTCTAGTTCAGTTCTAGTTTCAGTTCTAGTTCAGTTCTAGTTAAGTTCTAGTTCAGTTCTAGTTCAGTTCTAGTTAAGTTCTAGTTCAGTTCTAGTCCAGTTCTAGTTCAATTCTAATTCAGTTATAGTTCACTTCTAGTTCATTTCTAGTTGTTGGTAAACGATTAAAATTTTCATTGAAAATTGAAAAGAATTCTGAAAACAAATACCAAAAAGCAGGTTCCAACAAAACGTGCGTAATTTTTTATATTAATATCAATAAATTAGTTCAAATAACAGTTTAGCATATCAAAGAGTCTATTAATATTTTACTAAATATAAAGATAGTTTTTATTGTTCTATGATTTATAGAGATTTTGTGAATTCTTGGGAAAAAATTTGTGGCAAAATAAATTTAAATATTTTTGTATAATTTTATTTAAAAAAGGAACTAAAACATTAGCATAAAATTCAAATAAAGACATATTTCTAATTAAAAAATTAATCAAATAACTAGTTTTTGTTTTTGAAACTTATGGCAAATAATTTTTAATCCCTTTAATTAAAAATAAAAACCTTCTATTAAGTAGTTTTATTAAATGTTTATTTCGTTATATAGTAATTATTCGAATAACATCAATGAGGTTTTTAAACTTAAATTAATTTTGAACATGAAGTTGAAGGTAAAAATAATGTGTAATTCCAACGAAAAAACAACAATTTTAAGGTGTGCGAGGAGAATCGAGTTAAAATTAAAAACAAATTTAAATCATTTGAAGAAGATGATGCTTTTTTCCAGTTAAATTATTTTGTTTTTTTGTTTTGTAATCTCAATATAACAAACAAGTGTTTTTTTTTTGCCTTAAACTCTATTCATAAATATCACGATCTTAACGAAATTTTTATGACTATTTTTTTATTTTTGTAATAATTATATGATTAAATTGTGTTTTTTTTACAAAAATACACAAAATTAACTCATTTTCGTCGTGTGTAAATTTAATGTCACCATAAAAATGTTTGTGTTTGTTTTTTTGTTTGTAGGGGAAGTGTAAATTTTCATTTGAAAACTAAGTTTTTTTTTTTTTTAACTGGGTTATCATTTACTAAGCTTATTGTCATAATATTTACTTGAGCTATTTTTTGTTTTGGTTACTTTTTTTAACCGTCTACTGTCATTTCCGTTTATACGTATTATGTATATTTATTTTTGGTTTATTTGCGAAATGTTTACATTTTTACTTTCATTTGACTCTATTTATTTATTGTTGGCTAAAAGATAGACGATAGTCTTTTAGTCATATTAAGACCATAATGTTAATGATGTTATTTATTAAGATTTTTTTATTTCGTTAATAAATGATTCATAAATTTTCTTTGTCTGCCTTAAAAGAATATTTTTTTAAGGTGGAGATTCCAGTAGCAGTTACAAAAGCAAAAGAGCAAAATAATGATCGATAGCTAGTGATCATAAGATATATGTAAGGCAGAGTTAGTAAGCAGTGACTTCATTAAAATTGAATTATTAAACTGTAGAAATGAACTAGAACCGAGCTAGATCTAAACTAGAACTGAACTAAAACTAAACTACAACTGTACTAGAACTGCTCTAGAACTGAACTTGAACTAGTCTATAGTCTAGTCTATAGTCTAGTTTATAGTCTAGTCTATAGTCTAGTCTATAGTCTAGTCTATAGTCTAGTCTATAGTCTAGTCTATAGTCTAGTCTATAGTCTAGTCTATAGTCTAGTCTATAGTCTAGTTTATAGTCTAGTCTATAGTCTAGTCTATAGTCTAGTCTATAGTCTAGTCTATAGTCTAGTCTATAGTCTAGTCTAGTCTAGTCTATAGTCTAGTCTATAGTCTAGTCTATAGTCTAGTCTATAGTCTAGTCTATAGTCTAGTCTATAGTCTAGTCTATAGTCTAGTCTATAGTCTAGTCTATAGTCCAGTCTATAGTCTAGTCTATAGTCTAGTCTATAGTCTAGTCTATAGTCTAGTCTATAGTCTAGTCTATAGTCTAGTCTATAGTCTAGTCTATAGTCTAGTCTATAGTCTAGTCGTCTAGTCTAGTCTAGTCTAGTCTATAGTCTATAGTCTATAGTCTAGTCTATAGTCTAGTCTATGGTCTAGTCTATAGTCTAGTCTATAGTCTAGTCTATAGTCTAGTCTATAGTCTAGTCTATAGTCTAGTCTATAGTCTAGTCTATAATCTAGTCTATAGTCTAGTCAATAGTCTAGTTTATAGTCTGGTCTAGTCTATAGTCTAGTCTAGTCTACAGTCTAGTCTATAGTCCAGTCTATAGTCTAGTCTATAGTCTAGTCTATAGTCTAGTCTATAGTCTAGTATACAGTCTAGTCTATAGTCCAGTCTATAGTCTAGTCTATAGTCTAGTCTATAGTCTAGTCTATAAGCAAGTCTACAGTAGTCTATAGACTAGTCTATAGTCTAGTCTATAGGCTAGTCTACAGTCTAGCCTATAGTCTAGTCTATAGGCTAGTATACAGTCTAGTCTATAGTCTATAGTCTAGTCTATAGTCTAGTCTATAGTCTAGTCTATAGTCTAGTCTATAGTCTAGTCTATAGTCTAGTCTATAGTCTAGTCTATAGTCTAGTCTATAGTCTAGTCTATAGTCTAGTCTATAGTCTAGTCTATAGTCTAGTCTATAGTCTAGTCTATAGTCTAGTCTATAGTCTAGTCTATAGTCTAGTCTATAGTCTAGTCTAGTCTATAGTCTAGTCTATAGTCTAGTCTATAGTCTAGTCTATAGTCTAGTCTATAGTCTAGTCTATAGTCTAGTCTATGGTCTAGCCGAGTCTATATGCCGTGGCCTTGAGCTTAATGGTCCATCCCCATCTCAGTTGTGCGAAAGAAACTTTTGTTTTTCATGGCGGTGGGCTAGACCTTAAGGTACCACGTTCATGCTAAAATCGCAGTATTTGTTAATAAACAATAAGATTATAAAAAATAAATATAAAATTAAAACAATTTATAGCTGTAAATTAGTATGTTATTTATAAAAAAAGTAATTTAGAAATTTTTATGAATGAATTGAATATTTTCTTAGGAATTCTATTTTTATTGTTAATAACTACATAATAAAGGAAAAAAACTAAAGTTTTAATTGTTTATTAATTATTATGTTTTTTTTCTATATAATTTCAGTTAAAAAAAGCAACGACGTTAGCAAATTGGTACCAGTCAAAAGCCATTCACCAAATTCAGCAAAAAAACCCACAAACACCAATGGAATAAAAACCCTCTTTTTAATAAAAAAAATTGCAATACTTACAATAATACATCTGAAAACAACAACTAGCCAAAGAAACTTAATTTAAAAAAAAATGTTTTGTTGTAAAAATTAACAATAACAATAATCATGAATATTTTTTTAAAAACTCCCGTGTAATAACAACGTGTTGGAATTTTGGTTTCAGAAACAAACAAAAACAAATTAAATATATAAATAAATAAGTATTAGAGTGAAAAAGTAAAACAGGGAATTAATAAAACAAATAAATAAATAAATATTTTTAAAGAGAGAAAAAATAATATTATATGAAGTTCAAAATTACAAATTTTCAAAAGTAAAAAATGGCATAACAAGAGGTAGTGAAACACCAACACCAACACCCTCCCCCCCTAAAGTTTGAATTTATTTAATGGCCTGTTTTAAAGGCACGTGTCTTTCTTTATTTTTCAACAATTTAACTTACAAATTGGTTCATTTTAATGTCTAACAACAATAAATTTTATAATTTCTATAAAAAAACAAAGAAATTTTATTTAATGTTTGTTGGAGTTTGATGGTGGGTGCCTACCACTACTACTTTAAGTTAACAATAACAGTGACAGTTAAAAGTGGTACCACAACAATAACAACACAAACATCATGACAGTTTCCTATGCTGGTGAAGTGCCCAATGGCAGTAGTTTTGGCTGTTTTTGGAAGATATTATGGAAGTAAGTAGCTTTTTTTTTAAATATTTATCTGTTTTATAAATTAAAATTAAAAAAAAAAAAAATTCCCTTCACCTGTTTTTTGTGTGTTAATTATCTTTTATTAAAAATCTTTTTAAAATTATAGAATTTATTTTTAAACAATAACATTTCATCATTTGAGCATCAGCAACAAAAACAAACGTTATTTATTTAATAAAAACAATTAGAAATAAATAAAAAAATAATCAACATACAATTAAACTTTAAAAAACATTTACACATATTTTTTTTTATTTATTTTTACTATTTTCGAAAAAATAACAATTACAACTATTTTCTATTTTTGCCATTTCAAATTATAATTGCAAATTTATTGTTATTTATTTATTTAGATAAATAAATAACGTTGTTTTAAGTGGCAATTGTTTTATGAGATTTACAACAAATTGTTGCATCAGTTTGCACAACGAAAAAAATATATATGACGTGATAATCAATAGCATCATCATCATCGTTTTCTATGAATTAATGCTAAAAGTATGAATGAATTTGAAGAAAAAACAAATTTTCTTAAGTAAATATCAGAGGTTTAGGTTTAAAAGCTTTTTATAAAAAAATGTTTTTTCATAAAAAGCTTTATATAAAGTTAAAATAATTTCAGCTTTAAGATTTCTTTACTAAATGGAAAGCTTTAAATCTTTTCAATTACCTTTTCAAACATTAAAGCTATTTCAGAATAAAATTCTGCAGTACTTTGGGGCAATAGCTTTTTACAAAAAGCTTTTTCTGGAGAAGCTTTATATAGAGCTTAAAGATTTCATTCTTTTCTAAAAGCTTTCAATTTAATTTCAATTACCTTTTCAAGCTTTAAAGCTTTTACTCCTTCTTCGCAAAAATAATTCTCCAGTATTTTAGACCAAAAGCTTTTTCAAGAAAAGCTTTATATAAAGTTGAAATAATTTCATTATTTTCAAAATGGAAAGCTTTATTATCTTTTCAAGCATTAAAGCTTTTACTCATTCTTCAGAATAAAATTCTGCAGTATTTTATTGCAAACGGTTTTTATAAAGCTTAAAGATTACTTTCTTTTCTAAATACAAAGCTTTAAAGCTTTTCAATAACAGTTTCAAGCATTCAAGCTTTTACTCATTCTTCATAATAAAATTCTGCAGTATTTTGGGTAAAAAAGCTTTGAAATATCAATGCTTTGCAGGAGAGGCTTCATATAAACTTGAAATAATTTCAGCTTAAAAACTATTTTCTTGTCTAGATGGAAAGCTTTTCAAGCAGGAAAGCTTTTACTAATTCTTTAAAATAAAACTCAAGCTTTTTCAGGAGATAATTTATATAAAGTTGAAATAAATTTCACCTTAAAGATTACTTTTATTTCTAAAAAAAGCTTTATATAAAGTTGAAATAATTTCATTATTTTCAAAATGGAAAGCTTTATTATCTTTTCAAGCATTAAAGCTTTTAAAAGCTTTTTTTTAAAGCTTTTACTCATTCTTCTGAATAAAATTCTGCAGTATTTTATTGCAAAAGGTTTTTATAAAGCTTAAAGATTACTTTCTTTTCTACATACAAAGCTTTAAAGCTTTTCAATAACCGTTTCAATCTGTTAAGTTATACTCATTCTTCAGAATAAAAATCTACAGTATTTTGGGGCAAAATATTTTTATAAAAAGCTTTTTCAAGAGAAGCTTTATACAAAGTTAAAATAATTTCTTACTTTTCTAAATGGAAATCTTTAAATCTTTTCAATTACCCTTCAAAGCATTAAAGCTTTTACTCATTTTTCAGAATAAAATTCTGCAGTTATGGTGCAAAAGATTTTTATAAAGACCTTTGAAATATAAAAGCTTTTTTAGAAGAAGCTTTTTGGAATAATTTCAGCTTAAAGATTTCTTACTTTTCTAAATGAAAAGCTTTAAATCTTTTCAATTACCTTTTCAAGCATTGAAGCTTTTACTCTTTCTTCAGAATAAAATTCTGCAGTAGTTTGGGACAAAAGCTTTGTATAAATAGTTTTTAAAGGAGAATCTTTAACTTTTCAAGAATTAAAGCTTTTACTCATTCTTCAGAATAAAATTCTGCAGTATTTCGGGACAAAAGCTATATTTTATTAGTCGTCATAATGAAAAGCTTTAACTAAAGCTAAAATAGTTTCAATTTTCAAAGCTTTCATTGAAAAATTTTTACATTATTGACATTCTAGCAGTAAAGCTTTTAATATTTCTTCAATATTAGTTTAAGCTTTATTATTATCAAATTTCAAAGTTTAGAAAAAACTTTTGTCTCATAAGATGTCAAAAGGAAAATATATTTACAGGAAAAGCGTTTCTTAATGTGAAATGATTTCAGATTAAAACTTTCTCTGAAATATTAGTATTTTAATGGCTTCTATAAGCTTTGAAGCATTAAAAGACCAGTCTCTTGCCTTTAATATTAAGTTAAGTTTTATTGAAACAGCTTCGAAATGCGAAGGCTTAAAAGTACAATCCTTAAAAGTAGTAAACCTTTAAAGCAAGAATAATTTTTTTTTCAACTAAAGCTTTAAAGCTCCCAGCTTTACTTTTTTTGGTGCATTTTCCGAAATAATGCAGCCTTAAGCTTTCATTGCAAAATCATGTATTAGTCTAGTATAATGGAAAGCTTTTGCATTTTTTTTTTATATAAAATGAGACAGCTTGAGCTAATTCTTTAGTAATTAAAAAACTTTTGAATTATTAGTCGTCATAATGAAAAAGCTTATAAATCATTTTTCAGAATTTTTCAATTTTAATTAAAGCATTAAAACATTTAGCTTTTTTAAAAGCAATATTATATTCTTCAGATAAAGCTTTAATTAATATAAACTCAAGCTTTAAGAAACTGCTGCGTTATTAGTTGAAAAGCTTTTAATTTACAGTTTCTAGCAGCACAGTTTTGAATTTTTCTTTGGAAGTATTTCTTAAATGTAAAAAGCTTTTTAGTATTTAAACAATAATATCACATTTAACTTGTTTAAGAGCTTAAATTAGCTTTTACGCCATTTTTCGAATAATTTTCGAGACTTTTCTTTGGTCTCTTAGTAAAAAATTTGTTGGCCTGCTATATCTTTATACAAAAAAAGAAAATGAAATACCTCCAAAAAATGTGGGAAGATCAGATTGCTTTCCTTTTTTTAATTGTATCCCAGTCGGAGGACCGACCTATCTTCGGCACATATGGGTGAATTATGTTTTGAAATGTTTCCCTTGAGGAATTTATCTTTTTCAAAGACCAGAAATGATCACAGAGACAATTCAAGGCCGATAACTGTAGCATTCATAGCTGGTTCTAGATTCAATGCTTTATATAAAGCCGATCTGCTACTTAGAAAAAAACATTCTGTATCAGATCTCAAGTAAAATCCAGTTAAAATTTTTCCATTTAAACAGTTCATATTTCCAAGAGGCTTAGGACTAGGTAATCACAAAGTGATTAATGTAACATTTAGTTACTAGGGTTCTATAGTTGGGACGAAAAGTAGACTTTTCGACTTTTTTCATTTAGTTTAAAGTCGACTTTTCGACTTTTTGCTTTTTATGAAAAGTCGATTTTTGGACTTTTCGACTTTTTCATTTAATTAAAAGTCGACTTTTAGACTTTCGACTTTATCCGACTTTTCGACTTTTTGACTATTTTCGTCTTCTTTCGACTTGTTTCGACTATTTTTTGACTTTTTTCGAGTTTTTCCGACTATTTTCGAGTTTTTGACTTTTTTTTCCACTTTTTTAAAATTTTCGATTATTTTTTTCTACAATTTTCGAGTTTTCGACTTTTTCCGACTTTTGTAGACTTTTTCGACTTTTTCCGACTTATTTCGACTTTTTCCGACTTTTTGACTTTTATTAACAAAGTAGACTTTTCGACTTTTTTCACAGGCGATAGTCGAGATATCGACTTTTTTGGAACAAAATAGTCGACTTCGACTTTTCGACTTTTTTCGACAAAAAGTCGATTGTTCGATTATTCGAAAGTCGATTTATAGAACCCTATTAGTTACCATGCACCATAATCATTGCAATCTAATCTTCATGAACTTGTACCGATTTGAGATATAAAAATTCTATTAATTATTCCAAAACATGCCAAGGATATCGAAAACATATCGCACTCTCTCTCGCTCTCTCTCTTGATCTGTTAAAACAACTTCAAACATTATATTTAACAATCGTGCTTAACAATTTGATATTTTCCAAAGATTTATTACTAAAACTAACAAATTAAATTTAAACAATTAGACGCGTCTTGCATGTATGAATGAATGAATATTATCACAAACATTTTTATCCAGATGACACTCGTTGAGGTTTTTGATATGTCAGTTATTAGACATATTGGACATATAAATGTGTAAATAGTGTCAAGTGGATAAAGATGCTTTACTATAAATAACTACAAAAAAAAAAAATACGTGTAAAAATTTTTATTAAAACAAATTATTAAAATAAATAAGTAAAAAAATAGATAGAATATTGCTTATAAGGAACCATAGTGGACCCGAAAATGTTTTATATTCTTATAATTAAAAAATATCATTACAATTTGGGAAAAATTTGCCCAAGTGGAAGTCGAACTCAAGCTTGAATTTAATCAAATAAAAATAACATAAATAAGTTTGTTATTAGTAACACGTACTCACTACCTCTTGCATTACCAAGTAACCAGTAGTGTTGTAAGCTAAACAATTTAAACTTTTTTTTGCTTTAAATTTCCCAAATTACGTCTTTTTTAAATAAATCTTATTTAATTGTTATTTAATTATAAAAAAAAGATCACTATTAATTTATTGTTATTTTCTGTTAAATTATTTACATTTATCTTGTGATTTGAACTCCTGCTGTGTTCATTTAAATATGTATAAAATATTTTATATAAAAATACAATTTGTAAAATATTATAAATTTCTTTAAATATGGATAAATTTAAAGTGTTAAAACCTATTTATAAATTAAACTTTAAAAAACTGTTTTTTTTTTTTTTTTGAATATTTTAAATCAGCATTTAATCACGTTCCTTTGTTAGAAGAAAATATTTTCTAGACATAGTTAAATGTCTGATTTTTATATTTTTCTAATTTATTTTAAAGAAAAACACAAGTTTTTTTTCTTAATACAAACAAAACAAATGCCAGGCAATTAATTGAAAACAATGCTTGAACATTTGTACAAACATAATTATAATAGTTTTTGTTTTTTTTTTTGCTTGTAATTTATAATTTATTTGTTTCTATTAAGATTTACTGGCGTTAGTTTGAGAAATAAAAGTGCATGTTTAACAATAAATTGTAATATTTTGAAAAAAAAAAGATGCTAATAAAGTGGTAACTGTTTGAAAATTATGTGTCAAATATTGAAAATTGTTTAAATAGTTGGGTGGTATTATTTTGTTAAAATTTTGCTGGGAAAAAAAGAGAGAGAGAGAGAGAGTAAATATCTCCCTAATCACAATCGGGGTAGTAGAAATCTATTATTGTATATCGCAAAAGTTTCAAAAAGTACCAATTGTAGAACTCTTATAGATATTCATTCCACTAGGATGTCTGATTATATGTTTCTAGGTTAAATAATTCAGAAAATCAAAAAAGTACCATTTGAACGAGGAAAAAGTACCAAAACTTTCCTCTTACACCATTTCAAACTAATCTGGATAATATACATTTTCAATCAGATCAAATCACATTTTCCTTATAACGTGTCTTAGCCTGTCTTATCTTGTTATAACATCTAAAAGTCCAATCTGTCGACTTTAAAATAAAGGTTTAACCTTTGCTATATCTTCTTTATTCTTCGAGATATTATAACCCAAAACTTGAACATGAATTTTAACTACATTTTACCTTTATTGAATAATAAGTTAAATCATTATTTTAAAACCGACAGAATGGACTGTCAGATGTTGTAACAAATTTTATAAATATAACTTTATATGGCGTAGTTATTACGTCTCAATTAGGGCAATTTTATAACAAGATATACTCCAGATATCTTGTTATAAAATTGCCCTAAAAATTGAGGCGTAAGATTAAACGAATAAGAAGATTTGTGATATCGTGTAGTTGGGCGCCATATTAGTACATGAAAGCAGATCGGGTGTTAATAATAGACAGATTCACATTTCCGAATTAATAAAGGTCTCCGAGGTCTTAATGAACAGACCGAATGCTAGGCCAGTAAGGGCGCTCAATCGATATTTATGGGAACTGAACCGTTGTTCGGTATTCTCTATGGGCAGCACTAGCAATAAATGTGGTTTTTGGATTCAACTTGAACTAGCTTACTTAGATAGCTTAGGAGATATATGCCTTTTGGATATAAACTGAAAAAATCGTATCTATGGTAAGAAGTTTAATTCTTCAGATTTCTTAGAAAATCAGATTTTTTATTAAAAATCGATTTTTATTGAAAATAAAAATATGTCCTTTAAGTTAATTTATATAATAAAACTATCTATACCCAGTGTGCTTTGCTACCCTAAAATCTATATAAATAAGAAGCCCACAAATTTTGAAGATTCTAGCTCTAACAGTTTCCAATATATGTATATAAATTTTAGTATTTAATTAATAGGGAGCTGCCAAGCCCCCTATTGGAAGTCCTCTAATTTATTACCCAAATGTTCACAGGATATTCGAATTTTAGCTCTAATAGTTTCTCAGATATACGAATTTTTGTATTTAATTCATATGGGAGGTGCCAAGCCACCCTTATGAAAGTCCGCCCATTTTCCTCATAAATACTCACATAAATGTTAAAGGTCTTCGTGCAAAATTTTAAAATTCTAACTCCCATAGTTTCCAAGATAAACGAGTTTTAGCATTTAATTTCTATGGAAGGTGCCACGCCCCCTATAGCTACACTGTAGCTAGGTTGCCCATTTTGTCAACATGTGTTCATATGGATGTCAAAGTTGTTCATACAAAATTTGAGGACTATAATTGTTGAAGTTTCTCAGATATGCGACTTTTATTACTTATTTTGTATGTGGGCGTGGCACCTCGCCTACTTGAAATTGCAAATATCAAGCAAATTTGTTCAGCCGTCTAGCCGTCTGTAATACACATGCAATATTAGTGAACAATTATTTAGTAATTGTCATAAAACTTATTGCTTTCTGGAGCAACAATTTAGAAAAGCTTTTCATCATATATGAAAGCTTTGTTTACTTTGGAAAAAAACTGAAATTTCCAACTGGACTTATTATTAACTAAATCAATTTTCAGATTAGTTCATATAAACACTTCTAATATAATCAAACTTTCAATTCATATTAATAACTAAACCAGTTTAAATTGATTTAAATAATTATTAATAAATAAGATTAAAATAAAAGTTTTCTATAGAAACCCATATTTTGAATGAACTGCTATATACATATTCCATTTTTGTTTGCAAATAAATAAATAATTGTTTAACTATAGTTAAAGGAAAACAATGCTGGAAAAAAATGACTCACTTTTAATAAAAAGTAAAATGTTTTAAATAATTAAATAATTAAAAGAATAAATTACACAGAAAAAGACTAAAAAATACTAGAAATAAAGTAATTTTTAATAATTATAATTAAAATAATAACGAAAAATATATATATTAAAGTAAGTTAATATAATAACTAAGATTTGGCAAATTTAATGAGAAATTTTATATAAAGATATTTAAAGCATCAGTTAAATACACTTTACCCAGTACGAATATATTACTGCTGAGAGCGTAATAATGATATTAATCGGTACTTTTCATTTTGAATACTCAAAATAACCCAACAAAAACTTTCATTACCATGTAAAGAATTAAAATTCTAAAACTATTTACCACGCTTGCTTACAAATAAGTACTTATAACGATAGCTTGCTAATTAGGATTGAAGTTAGTAGTTTTGTTATCTACCCAGCAAGAATATGGTAAGGAGATGGGCTTATCAAACAACTTACTATTCAATGACTACTACATAGCGTCTGTATTACTTAGCACAAGTGTAAAAATGACTTACAAATAATTATATATGTATGTATGTAAGTACTAACTTGTTTGTGCTCGACATTTTCGAATTTATTCCTTAAAAAATTAAAAAAAACTATTTTTGTATGCGAACTATTGATTTTTACTTCTAATTAGCTAAGCATACGTTGTAAGTACTTATTTAACCCCTTCTTTGTAAGCGAGCGTGGTGTTACTTGCTTCCATACACACACACGGTTTGAAAGCAATGACTTTATATGGTAATGAGAGTGTTTTTCTTATAGTTAGTTACTTAGTTACAGTCCAACTATAGTACAGACTATGAATGGGAATATAATCATCCTATAGACGAGACTATAGTCCTAGCCTATGGGTGAGACTATAATCCAGCCTATAGACAAGACTACAGTCCAGCCTAAAGACAAGACTACAGTCTAGCCTATAGACAACACTATAGTCCAGCCTTTAGACGAGACTACTATCCAGAAACTAGATGAAATATAGTCCAAACTATAGACGAGACTATAGTGCAGAATATAGACAAGACTGTAGTCCTGAAACTAGACGGCACTATGTCGAAACTATAGAACGAAATTGTGCAGAATATAGACGAGGCAATAGTCGCAACTATAGACGATAATGATTATTAGTTAGTTAGTTAGTTAGTTAGGTTAAGTTAGTTAGTTCTTTAGTTAGTTAGTTAGTTAGTTAGTTTTGTTAGTTAGTTAGTTAGTTTTAGTTGTTAGTTCGTTTGTTAGTTCGTTAGTTCGTTCGTTAGTTTAGTTCGTTCGTTAGTTCGTTGTTCGTTCGTCGTTCGTTCGTTCGTTCGTTCGTTCGTTCGTTCTTCGTTCGTTCGTTCGTTCGTTTCGTTTCGTTCGTTCGTTCGTTCGTTCGTTCGTTCGTTCGTTCGTTCGTTCGTTCGTTCGTTTCGTTCGTTCGTTCGTTTCGTTCGTTCGTTCGTTCGTTCGTTCGTTCGTTCGTTTCGTTCGTTCGTTCGTTCGTTCGTTCGTTCGTTCGTTCGTTCGTTCGTTCGTTCGTTCGTTCGTTCGTTCGTTTCGTTCGTTCGTTCGTTCGTTCGTTCGTTTTCGTTCGTTCGTTCGTTCGTTCTTCGTTCGTTCGTTCGTTCGTTTTTCGTTCGTTTCGTTCGTTCGTTCGTTCTTCGTTCGTTCGTTCGTTCGTTCGTTCGTTCGTTCGTTTCGTAGTTAGTTAGTTATTAGTTAGTTAGTAGTTAGTAGTTAGTTAGTTAGTAGTTAGTAGTTAGTTAGTTAGTTAGTTAGTTAGTTAGTTAGTTAGTAGTTAGTTAGTTAGTTATGTTGTTAGTTAGTTAGTTAGTTAGTTAGTAGTTAGTAGTTAGTTAGTTAGTTAGTTAGTTAGTTAGTTAGTTAGTTAGTTAGTTAGTTAGTAGTTAGTTAGTTAGTTAGTTAGTGTAGTTAGTTAGTTAGTTAGTAGTTAGTTAGTTAGTAGTTAGTTAGTTAGTTAGTTAGTTAGTTAGTTAGTTAGTAGTTAGTTAGTTAGTTAGTTAGTTAGTTAGTTAGTTAGTTAGTTAGTTAGTTAGTTAGTTAGTTAGTTAGTTAGTTAGTTAGTTAGTTAGTTAGTTAGTTAGTTAGTAGTTAGTAGTTAGTTAGTTAGTAGTTAGTAGTTAGTTAGTTAGTTACCCTGTTATGTGCTCTTTTTTCAAAATGGAAATCGAACCCACGACCTCTGGAACGACTAACCCTTCTAAAAGGAAAATAGTATAATTTCACACACAAATTATATACCTAACAGTATCGAACTCACACTTGTTGATATCGAGTACTCTTCACCCACTATTGAATAGTTTGCAGGCTAAGTTTTGATAACTCGTTTAACTACTCATATTTTTATAAAGTTTCAACATTATTGAATTTTATTGCCAAAATTTATATATTTTTAAAAATTTTTATTGATTATTTCAATTTAAAAATTTTTACGATTTAAGTATCATTCTAATTAATATTTTATTTATTTTATCTGTTATTTTTCAGGTGGCGTGGAAGTGTTTATAAATTAGTATGGCGTGAATTAGTGGCGTATTTATGTTTATATTATACTATTAATTTTGTATATAGATTTGCTTTAACCGAACAACAACAAAAGTAAGTTGCAAATTTTAAAAACAAATAAAAATTGTATATTTTATTAACAAATAGATACTTTAAAAAACGATCATTAAAATTGGCAATTAAAGGATAAAATTATTCATTCAAAAAAATAAAACATTTTAAAATTTTATTACATCCATAAAAAGTTTTGTAAAGATTTCTCATTATTTTTATAATGTTTTCTTTATATTTCAGAATATTTAATAAGTTACGATCATATTTTGGTCAACAGGGCGAAAGTATACCCATGTCATTTGTGCTGGGTTTCTATGTAAGTCTGGTAGTGAAACGTTGGTGGGAGCAATACAGATTATTGCCCTGGCCCGATACGTTGGCCCTATTTATAAGTGCTGCAATACCAAATTCAAATGGTGGTGTAAATGTAAGTATTTTAATGGATTTGAATTTCCTCAATAGTTTATCATTTCTAAAGACTTTTTCATGAACCAATCAAAAATATTTGATTTCCATTTCTTCCCCTCTAGAACGAAACCGGCCGCCTTATGCGTCGCAACATAATGCGTTACATGGTCTTGGCCTATGTGATCACTTTGCAACGTATTTCGTTGCGTGTTAAACGTCGTTTTCCCACCACCCAACATCTCGTGGATGCTGGTCTCATGCACGAGTCTGAAATGAAAATCTTTGAGCATTTAAATGCTAAAAGTCCCATGTCTAAGTATTGGATGCCCCTGGTTTGGGCTACAAATATTATAAATCGTGCTCGCAAAGATGGTCTCATAATGTCCGATCATATAGTGCAAACGATATTGATGGAATTATCAGATATAAGACGTCGTTTGGGTGGTTTAATCGGTTATGATACTGTGTGTGTGCCATTAGTTTATACGCAGGTGAGTGATTGATTATTATCTTAAAATAGGTTTGTAATTGATATTTGATGGTTTGACACTTTGAAAAAATCAAATTTTTAGTCAAAACTTTATTTTTTTCATAAAAATGGAGAAGTTTGTTTTTTCTAACATTACAGTATTGTTCATTTGGGAATTTACATTATTTGAAATTGTTTGTTTTTCCCTTTATATTTATCTAAAACGTGCTAATTTTCTAAAAAAAAATATTTTTCTAGTTCAATGACTCATATTTATCATAAAAATAAGCACTTTTTAAAATTTGTCCCACTATAAATTATTTCCTAAAATCATGAAATTTCTTAAGAAAACAAAGGCCACAAAAATTATTTTTTTACAATTTAAATATAAAATTGTAGTGCAATCAGTTCATAAATTTTCCATAAATCAAAATTAGTCACTTTTCACACCAACGACAGGGGAGTTTTGGGGCCGAATTACCACATATATAATTGAATTACCTTTCGTAGAGAAACGTCGAAATCACATTACGACATTGAAATTAAGTTGAAATGTTTGAGATTTATTCTACAATATCGAGTGGTATTATCTTAAAAAAATTACCATCAATTATACTCGCTGTAATTTGTCCCAAGTTTTCAACCCAGACTATAGGTTAAAAACCAGAGTATAACGGAATTACAGTCCCAACTATCCATTATAGACGAGACTATAGTACAGACAATAGACCAGACTTCATTCCCTTCTAGAAACGAGACTATAAATAAAACTTCAGTCCTAAGGCTGAGACCATATCATAGATTATAGAACAGACTATAGGCGAGACTATAGACGAGGTTATAGACCAGGCAATAAATGAGATTATAATTCAGACTATAGTCTATAATATAGACTATTAACCAGACTGTAGACGAGACTACATTCCCAACTACAGACTAGAGCACAGACTATAAATGGAACTATAGTCCTATGGATGATACTATAGACCAGACTACATGCGAGATTATAGATCAGTCTATATCTATACTATAAACCAGACTGTAGTCCAGACTATTGGCGAAAATCTAATCCAGACCATAGTCGAGACAAAAGTCCAAAACATAGACGACCTATAGTGCAGACTATAAAAGATTATAGACCAGACTATATGCGAGATTATAGATCAGACTATAATCCGGACTATAGACGAGACTATAGTCTTGACTATTGACGAATATCTAGTTCAGATGACATTGTGATACTATAGACTAGACAAAAGTTCAGAATAGATTACAAACTCTACGCCAGACTATAATTCTGACTAAAGACGAGTATATAGTACAAACTATAAACAGATCTATAGTCCTGACTATAGACTAGACTATAGACACGACTATAGATTAGATTATAAGCGACACTATAGACAAGAATATATCTCAGATTATAGACTAGACTAAACTATAGACGAGACTATTGCTCTATAGCCTAGCCAATACACCAGACTATAGAAGAGACTATAGTCGAGGCAATAAACGGGACTATTGGCCAAACTCCAGGCGAGTCTATAGTCACGACTATAAACGAGACTAGAGTCCTGACAATAAACGAGACTATAGTTCTGAATATAGACGAGACTATAGCTCAGATCGAAGACAGACTATAGACGACACTATAGAGCAGATTATAGATCAGACAATAGATGTGACTATTACCCAGATTACAAACTATACGCCAGACTATAATTCTGACTAAAGACGAGTATATAGTGCAAACTATAAACAGATCTATAGTCCTGACTATGGACTAGACTATAGATATGACTATAGATTAGATTATAAGCGATACTATAGACAAGAATATATCTCAGATTATAGACTAGACTAAACTATAGACGAGACTATTGTTCTATAGCCTAGACAATACACCAGACTATAGAAGAGACTATAGTCCAGGCTTTAAACGGGACTATTGGCCAAACTCCAGACGAGACTAGAGTCCTGACAATAAACGAGACTATGGTCCTGAATATAGACGAATCTATAGCTCAGATCGAAGACCAGACTATAGACGACACTATTGAGCAGATTATAGATCAGACAATAGATATTGGCCAGATTACAAACTATACGCCAGACTATAATTCTGATTAAAGACGAGTATATAGTGCAGACTATAAACAGATCTACAGTCCTGACTATGGACTAGACTATAGACACGCCAGACTATAATTCTGATTAAAGACGAGTATATAGTGCAGACTATAAACAGATCTACAGTCCTGACTATGGACTAGACTATAGACACGACTATAGATTTGATTATAAGCGATACAATAGACAAGAATATATCTCAGATTATAGACTAGACTAAACTATAGACGATACTAAAGCCCAAACTACAGATGAGACTGTAGTCTAGACTATAACGACACTATTGCCCAGATTATTTACCAGACTACAGATGGCACTGTAGTCTAGATTATAGATCAAACTTTGGGAGGCACTATCACCCAAATTATACACCATACTATAGTTCAAACTATAGACGACTATTTCGGCCAGATTATACACCAGACTACAAATGAAACTATAGACCAGACTACAGATGAGAATATAGTCCAGACTATAGAAGACACACCAGACTATAGTTCTCACTGTACATGACACTATGGCCCAGCCTATACACAAGACTATAATCCAGACTATATAGACGAAACTATTGCCCTAGTTATAGATAAAATTATAGTACAAACTATTGTCAAAACGATAGTTCAGGCTATAGACGATGCTATAGCTCAGATTAAAGACATGACGGGACGATAATAATAAATTAAAATATATTTACTATTTTTATATAATTTTATACTTTTAATAATATTTCACAATTTGTTATTGATCTATTTGTTTTCTTCTATTTACAAAAATTTTCTTTACAGGTTGTAACATTAGTTTTATATACATATTTCATTGCCGCTTTATTGGGACGTCAAATGTTACCCGATATGCCAGATCACAATGGCAAAAATGATTACGATTTATATTTTCCGCTATTTACAGCGTTACAGGTAAATATTACAAAAAATAAAAAAATACCTTAATTATAGAAAAATAAACAAACAATTTGCAAACTAAACCGCAAAGTAAAAACATATAGATAAAGAAATTGAAATGAAACTAAAATATTTCTTTACCGCAAAAAAAGTATTAAGATCTTTAAAAGTTGCAAATACATTGTATACATAAATATTTAATGAACTTAAATTAAACCAAAAAATCCTATTTTTAGCTAATTTTATGAGTTTCATAAAATCCAAAGCGTAATAATAATAAAGATGTAATTTAAAAATCATATTTAATGAATATTAAACAAAAAATGTTATATTAACTCTTATTTAGTCTAAGATTTGTACAATGTTTACATACCTCTTATGGTTTTAAAGTTACACTTTTAAGCACTTAAACCTTTTTTGGCTAAAAACCCCTTAAACTACTAATAAAACTATACAGTGTGGAGGCAAAACTAATTATTATGACAAATGTGAAATTAAATTAAATGTTTGTAAGAAAGCTAAGCAAAGCCAGAAAGAAACACTTTCTTTATAAGCCATGCACGATTTTAATTTAAATATTATATAATTTTTTAAAGTACTTAGTTGAATTAATTTAAAAAAATCATTTTACTTTCCTCTGTTAGGTTATTATTGGCTGGTTGCTTGCTTGTCTGTCTGTCTGCGGTATGATGAGTGTTATGAAATGTTTGTTAAACATTTAAAAATCCAATTATTTTAACTTTTTTTCGTGGGTAAAGATCGCATGTTCGACGTTTGAATGAACTTATAAAAACCTTGTAGGTTTACCTTGACTAAAGATATAAAATTGCATACAAAATTTTGACGAAACTATAATCCAAGATTAAAGACGGCTCTGACGTCAAGACTATAGCTGAAACTATAGCTTAGACTATAGACAAGACTAAACTCCAGACTATATACGTCCAGACTATAGAGTACTCCATAGTCCAGACTATAGACTACTCTATAGTCCAGACTATAGACTACTCTATAGTCCAGACTATAGACTATTCTATAGTCCAGACTATAGACTACTCAATAGTCCAGACTATAGACTACTCAATAGTCCATACTATAGACTACTCTATAGTCTAGACTATAGACTACTCTATAGTCCATACTATAGACTACTCTATAGTCCATACTATAGACTACTTCATAGTCCAGACTATAGACTACTCTGTAGTCCATACTATAGACTACTCTGTAGTCCATACTATAGACTACTCCACAGTCCAAACTATAGACTACTCTATAGTTCAGACTATAGACTACTCTATATTCCAGAACATAGACTACTCTATAGTCCAGACTATAGACTCCTCCATAGTCCAGACTATAGACTACTCTATAGTTCAGACTATAGACTATTCTATAGTCTAGACTATGGACTACTCTATAGTTCAGACTATAGACTATTCTATAGTTCAGACTATAGACTATTCTATAGTCCAGACTATAGACAAATCTAAAGTCCAGACTATAGACGACACTATAGTCCATGCTACAGATGAGACTATAGCCCAGACTATAGACGAGACTATACTCCAAACTATAGACGAGTCTATAGTCCAAAGTATAGACGAGACCTTAGTCCAGACTATAGACGAGACCTTAGTCCAGACTATAGATGAAACCATAGTCCAGACCCTAAACGAGGCTATAGTTCAGACTATAGACGAGACTATAGTGCAGACTATACACGAGACTATACACGAGACTATAGTCCAGACTATGGACAAGGCTATACACCAAAGTACAGATGAGACTATAGTCCAGACTACAGACGAGGCTATAGTCCAAAGTATATACGATACCTTAGTCCAAACTATAGACGAAACCATAGTCCAAACTATAGACGAGACTATAGTCCACATTATAAACGAGACTATATTCCAGACTATAAACGAGAATATAGTCCAGACTATAGACGAGACGAATCATAGTCCAAACTATAGACGAGACTATATAGACGAACTATAGTCCAGACAATAGGCGAGGCTATAGTCCAGACAATAGACGAGTCTATAGTCCAGACTCTAGTTCACACTATGGATAAAACTATAGACGAGACTATAGTCCAGACTAAAGACAAGATTATTGTCCAGACTATAGACGAGATTATAGTCCAGACTATAGACGAAAATATATCCAAGACTACAGACGAGACTATAGTCCAGACTATAGATAAAGCTATAGTCTAAAACATGGATGAGACTATTGTCCAGACTATATACGAGACTATAGTCCAGACCATAGACGAGACTATAGTCTAGACTATAGACGAGACTATAGTCCAGACTATATACGAGACTATAGTCCAGACTATAGACGAGACTATAGTTCACACTATGGATGAAACTATAGTCCAATCTATAGACGAGACAATAGTCCAGACTATGGACGAGACTATTAGTCCAGACTATAGACAAGACCTTAGTCCAGAATCTAAATGAGTCTGTAGATGAGTCCATAGATGAGACTACAGTTCAGACTATAGATGAACCAATTCAGTTGTCGAACAGAATTTGCAAACGGAATATTTTACTAATATCGCCACAGGTCAATGCAATGGAAAATCACCGGCTACCTAATCTAATACAAAACATCTATTTAGTTTTTTTCAAAACAAAAGGCTGTCATTAAAAAAAAACAAAAATAATTAGAAAATTAATTGATTATTTTTGTAATTTAGTTTTGTAAACAATTTGAAATACAACAGTGACAACAACAAAAAACATTTGTTATATGAACAAAATACAACATCGATTTTTGTTTTGCCTGTCATCCATAACAAATACCAATAGCCAAATATGGAACAACGACGTATCACGTGGGTTAACCATAAAAAGAGAGATTGTTAAAAATTTCATAAAAATAGTCAAATTGAACATTTGTCTAAAAAAGAAATAGTCAAACAGTGTGACAAAAATACATAGCAACAAAATTATATATTTTCAAAAATAACTTAAGGATTTGTAAAAATGTTATTACTTCAATCTGATGTTAAAATATAATCAATATCAATTAATATATCATTATATTTTTTTTAACATTAAGTTTTGTCTCCTCTATTCTTTGCCACCCTATTTATCCACTAAATGTTTAGTACATTTTACGACTGTAATCGTGATGCACTTGCAACGTTTATTAATTTCCCCATTATTATTTTTTTCCGATATTTTTACTGATATTAAACAAATCGTTTTGTCACTAATACGTTTCGGTTTTTTTTACAGCAATTTTTTCGTATATGTAGACAAAACATTCATTGAATTATGACTTGTTTAAGTAAATTTATTATTAATATATTTCACATTTAATTAGCATTTTTTGTTTTTAATATATTTTATTATTTTTTAATCGTTTTTAACAGTTTGTTTTTTATGTCGGTTGGCTGAAAGTTGCTGAAGTGCTAATCAATCCATTTGGTGAAGATGATGATGATATTGAATTAAACTGGTTAATTGATAGACATATTAAGGTAAGTAGTATCTAATAATTTTTCAAAGTTGTTGAGAAATATTTACATGAAAAGCATACAGTTATAATGATGATTAAAGAAAGTCAGGGTGTTGAAGGCATGTGATCTTCAAAGTACTAATACTTTTTAACGCGTTAGGTACTTTCGTGAAACCAAATATAAGTCAAATCAACGATAACAACATTGATCCATTAATGAATCAGAACTGAACTAGAACTGAACTAGAACTGAACTAGAACTGAACTAGAACTGAACTAGAACTGAACTAGAACTGAACTAGAACTGAACTAGACTGAACTAGAACTGAACTAGAACTGAACTAGAACTGAACTAGAACTGAACTAGACTGAACTAGAACTGAACTAGAACTGAACTAGAACTGAACTAGAACTGAACTAGAACTGAACTAGAACTGAACTAGAACTGACCTAGAACTGAACTAGAACTGAACTAGAACTGAACTAGAACTGACCTAGAACTGAACTAGAACTGAACTAGAACTGAACTAGAACTGAACTAGAACTGAACTAGAACTGAACTAGAACTGAACTAGAACTGAACTAGAACTGAACTAGAAGAACTGAACTAGAACTGAACTAGAACTGAACTAGAACTGAACTAGAACTGAACTAGAACTGAACTAGAACTGAACTAGAACTGAACTAGAACTGAACTAGAACTAGGAACTAGAACTGAACTAGAACTGAACTAGAACTGAACTAGAACGAACAGAACTGAACTAGAACTGAACTAGAACGAACTAGAACTGAACTAGAACTGAACTAGAACTGACTAGAACTGAACTAGAACTGAACTAGAACTGAACTAGAACTGAAACTAGAACTGAACAGAACTGAACTAGAACTGAACTAGAACTGAACTAGAACTGAACTAGAACTGAACTAGAACTGAAACTAGAACTGAACTAGAACTGAACTAGAACTGAACTAGAACTGAACTAGAACTGAACTAGAACTGAACTAGAACTGAACTAGAACTGAACTAGAAACTGAACTAGAACTGAACTAGAACTGAACTAGAACTGAACTAGAACTGAACTAGAACTGAACTAGAACTGAACTAGAACTGAACCAGAACTGAACTAGAACTGAACTAGAACTGAACTAGAACTGAACTAGAACTGAACTAGAACTGAACTAGAACTGAACTAGAACTGAACTAGAACTGAACTAGAACTGAACTAGAACTGAACTAGAACTGAACTAGAACTGAACTAGAACTGAACTAGAACTGAACTAGAACTGAACTAGAACTGAACTAGAACTGAACTAGAACTGAACTAGAACTGAACTAGAACTGAACTAGAACTGAACCAGAACTGAACTAGAACTGAACTAGAACTGAACTAGAACTGAACCAGAACTGAACTAGAACTGAACTAGAACTGAACTAGAACTGAACTAGAACTGAACTAGAACTGAACTAGAACTGAACTAGAACTGAACTAGAACTGAACTAGAACTGAACTAGAACTGAACTAGAACTGAACTAGAACTGAACTAGAACTGAACTAGAACTGAACTAGAACTGAACTAGAACTGAACTAGAACTGAATTAGAACTGAACTAGAACTAGATCTGCACTAGAACTAGATCTGAACTAGAACTAGAACTGAACTAGAACTGAACTAGAACTGAACTAGAACTAGAACTGAACTAGAACTGAACTAGAACTGAACTAGAACTGAATTAGAACTGAATTAGAACTGAACTAGAACTGAACTAGAACTGAACTAGAACTGAACTAGAACTGAACTAGAACTGAACTAGAACTGAACTAGGACTGAACTAGAACTGAACTAGAACTGAACTAGAACTGAACTAGAACTGAACTAGAACTGAACTCGAACTGAACTAGAACTGAACTAGACGATCATGCGATGAATAGATCACAAAAAATTCTTATTTCGACATACATTTGAAAGAATTTATATGAGAAACCAACTGATCTACTTTAAAACACAAGTAGTAACCTTCCTATTTATTGAATACAAATGTTTTTAAACCGACTTTTCATTGTATTACAATGTCTCCCGCAACAAACATGATATGTCAACTCAAATAAACTTAAAATATTTTCCAAAGTCTAACAACAATATTTTGAAGCATTTTACATTTATAACGATCAATAAGGTGTAGCATTTAATCGGATCTGTTATAAAAATTAACACAAAACATCTGCTTAAGCAAAAAAAATAAATAAAATAATATCAACAGCGGCAGCCGAAGTACATTCATTTTTTCACAAATGTTTATGCACAATTATTTATTGTGCATTCAATTTATTAATGACTTTGTTTTCGGTGTCTCTCTCACTCAGTTTATCGGTCAGTCAAGTCAGTTTCGTTAAACCAAAAAAAATAATAAAAATAAGTTTTAATCGCCAATAAACCAGTTTGGTTAGTTACGTAGTTATCGCTTTTTCCTCGTCTTCTTCTTCTTTTTCGATTTTTCTGACAAATTTGTTTTAAACGTTGAAGTTTAATTCGGTTTAGTGGAGGAAAAAACAGACAGAATCTTTAAAACTAGAGTTTATTTTTAGCACGTGCCAATTTAAAAAAATCACTATTTACTTTAAGTTTAAATAACATGACAAAATTTATATACAACAACAACAACAAAAATCAACGATCATGACAACAAAATACATTTTGGTATGTGGTTTCGTTAAGAAGTTTTATTTTAAGTTTACTTTTGGATCTTGGTGTTTATTCGTACAAAGCGTTGGATGATGATGACAAACTTCGTCTTTTACCAACTTGTCTTTGGATCTGTTAATAAAATGTGTTGATTGATGTGATATAACTGTCATTCTGTTATGTTTTAGAATTGAATATGGTTTTTATTGCTATTTTTGTAAAATCAGATTTTATTTTTATTGCTATTTTTGTAAAATCAGATTTTATTTACATACCTGGGGTAAAAAAAAGTAAACTGCGCTGAAACTAACCTTATTTAACATTTCTCATGTTAAATTAGTGAAATTAATGTTTTTAAAATAGTTTACATTGTTTACATCATGTAAACAATTAGAAAATAATGGGATTCCATCAACTTACTAAAAATTCTGAAAGTTCAATTAAAGTAATTTATGATTTTACAATAATTTTTTGCTTACACCATGTAAACTATGGGTAAATAATGGTTTAAAAACACCCTTCGGCATTAATATTAGTCGGCATTAGCAAACTTGTTAATTTTTTAATTTTTTACATTGCTTACCTTATGTAAACAAGTAGTAATTAATTAGTTTTCTTGAATTTATTCAAAATTTTTAAAGTTTAATTGAAGAAATGTATGATTTTACAATATCTTACATTGTCTACACCATAAAAACAATTAGTAAATAATAGTTTCATATTATTTTTCAGTTTTAAAATTAAATTATTTAAATTTTTTACCCTAAATAAATATTTGATAAATAATGGTTTTCTTTGCTATTTAAATACTTTATTAGAGAAATTTATGTGTCTACAGTAGTTTACATTATTTACACGATCTAAACAATGGGTAAACAATGGTAAAATATTAATTTTCGGTATTAATATTAGTCGACCTTTGTAAACTTGTTAAATTTTTATGTAAAAAATAAATAATAGATATTCCTCTATTTATACAAACTAGAACTGAACTAGAACTGAACTAGAACTGAACTAGAACTGAACTAGAACTGAACTAGAACTGAACTAGAACTGAACTAGAATTGAACTAGAATTGAACTAGAACTGAACTAGAACTGAACTAGAACTGAACTAGAACTGAACTAGAATTGAACTAGAACTGAACTAGAACTGAACTAGAACTGAACTAGAACTGAACTAGAACTGAACTTGAACTGAACTAGAACTGAACTAGAACTGAACTAGAACTGAACTAGAACTGAACTAGAACTGAACTAGAATTGAACTAGAACTGAACTAGAACTGAACTAGAACTGAACTAGAACTGAACTAGAACTGAACTTGAACTGAACTAGAACTGAACTAGAACTGAACTAGAACTGAACTAAAACTGAACTAGAACTGAACTAGAACTGAACTAGAACTGAACTAGAACTGAACTAGAACTGAACTAGAACTGAACTAGAACTGAACTAGAACTGAACTAGAACTGAACTAGAACTGAACTAGAACTGAACTAGAACTGATCTAGAACTGAACTAGAACTGAACTAGAACTGAACTAGAACTGAACTAGAACTGAACTAGAACTGAACAGGAACTGAACGGGAACTGAACTAGGACTGAACTAGAACTGAACTAGAACTGAACTAGAACTGAACTAGAACTGAACTAGAACTGAACTAGAACTGAACTAGAACTGAACTCGAACTGAACTCGAACTGAACTAGAATTGAACTAGAATTGAACTAGAATTGAACTAGAATTGAACTAGAACTGAACTAGAACTGAACTAGAACTGAACTAGAACTGAACTAGAACTGAACTAGAACTGAACTAGAACTGAACTAGAACTGAACTAGAACTGAACTGAACTAGAACTGAACTAGAACTGAACTAGAACTGAACTAGAACTGAACTAGAATTGAACTAGAACTGAACTAGAACTGAACAGGAACTGAACAGGAACTGAACGGGAACTGAACTAGGACTGAACTAGAACTGAACTAGAACTGAACTAGAACTGAACTAGAACTGAACTAGAACTGAACTAGAACTGAACTAGAACTGAACTAGAACTGAACTAGAACTGAACTAGAACTAGAACTGAACTAGCACTGAACTAGAACTGAACTGGAACTGAACTGGAACTGAACTGGAACTGAACTAGAACTGAATTAGAACTGTATTTGTTAACATAAAGTAAACAATAGTTGAATTACAATTTCTTGATGTTTCTTTCAATATTTTTAGTTTAATTAGTTAAAAATAAGAAAAATAATAATCCCGTTTACACAATGTAAGTAATAGGTAAATTAAGTTTATGTAATATTTTTAAAAAGCTAAAATATTCAACCATG